CCAGGAGAATGATCCAAAAGTTCATCTGCTGAGTGATTCAAAGACATCCTCACATAAGGATGTGGGAGGTGGCTTTGACATGAGTCTGTCAAGAGAAAACTCAATGGTTGCAGGGCATAGTATATGTCAGAGAAGACTGGAAAATGTCCAGAAAGTACATTTTTTAAGAAAAAAGTGTGAGAAAACCAGTGGGGGTCAGCTTCCTGGGACTGTGCACAGTTCACAACACTCTTTTAAGCAGAATCCTGTAAAATCCCACACTGAATTAGAGAAAAGAAGTTTGCCATCATCAGTGGGTGGGGACTACTGCCTGAACACATCCCAGGAGCTTCCCTCACTTGAGTGTGGTGCACAGCAGATGCGGAAACCCCACATTACCAAGTGTCAGATGGGGATGTTGTCAGCCCTTCCCACCAAAGTCCTTGAATCCAATGAGCGCTTCAAATCGAAAGATACGTCATCTCATTCTCTGGCGGAGTTAAAGTTGAAGTCAGAGAAAAAGGATAGTGAGGCCCAAGGCCAGTCCACGGACATGTCCCATGACTCAGACAGCTCGACTTGCAAAGCCTCCCTGCTTCTTCCCTCACTTGAGTGTCGTGCACAGCAGATGCGGAAACCCCACATTACCAAGTGTCAGATGGGGATGTTGTCAGCCCTTCCCACCAAAGTCCTTGAATCCAATGAGCGCTTCAAATCGAAAGATACGTCATCTCATTCTCTGGCGGAGTTAAAGTTGAAGTCAGAGAAAAAGGATAGTGAGGCCCAAGGCCAGTCCACGGACATGTCCCATGACTCAGACAGCTCGACTTGCAAAGCCTCCCTGACTCCTGCTCAGGATGTCTCCAGTGGGCATGAGGAAGTTGCCCAGCTGCTGCATGTCCATTCAGAGGACAGCACAGTCAGTACGGAGAAGCAGCAGGAACCTTGGCTTCCAAGGCAGGCATTAAGGTCCTGCCAGGATCAGAATTTCCCACCAGCTGTAAACAATGATATCATGTGCCCTCCCCCAGAGCCTACAGGCCCCAACT